GGTGGCGGAGGAGGCGGGTACGAATCAGCTGCGGGCAGAGACATGGCCAACATCGCGGTGCAGCGAATCAAGCGGGAGTTCAAGGAGGTGCTGAAGAGCGAGGAGGTCAGAAATGATCTACCGGACACCCCCATCTCAGCCCGGGGCGGGAGGGCCCTCCCTTCCGCGACCCCGGCGGTCCCGGCTGGCCTCGCTGCGGCCGCCTCTCAGCCGATGGGGAAGCGGCGCTCTCCCCTCCTCCTCCTGCCGCCTTTCCCTCCCCTCCCCGGGCCCTGGGATAGACGGTCTCGCGGGCGGCCGGCCGGCCTGGGGAGGAACGGGGTTTGGGGGACAGATGCAGAAGCACTTGTCGGGGACACGTGAGCTCTGGGGAGAGCCCCGAGGCGGAGGCAACATCTGTCTGTGTGGCTCTGGGGTGGGGAAGGAGCAGGCCGAGAAAACCCGGGAAGTGGGTTGGGGGAAGGGGAAAGATAGTAACTAGATCCCCGGCAGCAGCGCACCTCACAGGCCCACACTTTTCGGGGTACTCTGGGTATTGCTTGCCAGTCCTTTGCTGTCTTTTCTTTGAGGAAGGAGCCTACAGAGTCCTTAGGTATGAACGAAAGGAAGACATTCAGTTACTCCCTTGTAGTAGTGTTGGGGGACACATGGAGACATAATGGTCAGTCTCGTATTTGGAAGGGGTGTTGAAGCAGTTTTCATTACATATAGGAAATGAATTCCAAATTAGATAATCATCTCGTTTCCACGCACTCCACCAGTCACTAGGCCTCATCATTGACATTTAGTTGTTTGTCTGATGAAAGGCAAGAAGTTTGTTATTAAATGATTTGAACTAGGAAAAAAGGATGAGTAGCTTATTTCAAAATACTGTTTACCAATATCAGAGTCTCTCCTAGGGCAATGCCTCTGTGACTAGTGTACTGTGAAACTTCATTATGATGTCCCTTGTAGGTAACTTAAGTCTTACTTTTGAAAAGAGGCATATTAAAAACAAGAGATTTCATCAGATTCGCATTGTTGTAGCTCATTATTGAGTTAGGTTTGTTCTGATACAAAATATGTCACGTAATAGCATACTAAAAAATAAGACTACCCGTGAGTCCTTCAAAATTTAAATACGTTAATGCTGGTCATACTTATGTGAAATATTGAATTTTAACAATCTGACTCAGCTTTGCAAACAATAGTACAATTTTTCAGATCTGAATGAACAAAAATCCCAGATTTTCTGTGATTGAAGTTAGCAAGAAAATTCTGAAAGTAATTATCTTTCTCAAGGTTCACATTCCACTGTCCAATAAGCAGTGCTATATGTTCTTATGTGCTTGGTATTTTGATAATGCCAATAACGATCTTTAAAATTAGATATTTTAAGTATATGAGGAATTGTTACAAATCCTTTAGCACTCCAGCATTATTTGTGCCACTGAGTCTGCAGATAATTATCCATCTTTGGTAGAAATTTACTTAAAATTGAAGTGACTATATTTGCAGGCTTAGTGAACAGACTAAGAAATAAGTAGTGATCTGTCTTACATAGCATGAACTCTGACCTCTGTATTCATTTGCCAAAACTCTGAATGGAAGGATGACTTTGTATTTTTGTGGAACAGTGCAGAAAGTGTGAATGTCTGTATTCACATACATTTTAACAGTGATTTTAACTTTTTCTTTAATAAGCAAATGTACTTTGGGATTGTAGACATATATTCTTAATGAAAGATGAGAACTGATTTTGTTGTCAGCAGCCTAAAACGTTTTTTCTACAATAAGGTTGTACAAGTCTTTAGACTTGTAATGCTTTCTTTTATTTAAAAGTGTCAGGTTACTGGCCTGAAAATCCATATATCCTCTGCTTTATGTGATGTGACTTTCTATTTAAGTGATGGATTGAGGAGATGACTCCTTGGGTAAAGGAGGCTTGCTGCCAACCCTGATGACCTGAGTTCGGTCCGGAGGACCAACAAGGTAGAAGGTTATCCTTTGACCTCTATACCCACACATGCAAATAAAAGTTCATTCTCAAGAATGAGATTAAAAAAATTGTCATTATCTCTTAGGAAAACAGGGATTGCAAACACAAGTTATTCAGGAACAGTGCCTTTATAAACCTTGTAGGAACTTAGGAACCAGGAAAGTAAACTGCAAAGGATACTTGGAAAAGATCAGATAAAATTTAATATTGTAAACTGGTCATGGTAGCACAAGCCATTAATCCCAGCACTGAGAGGTAGAGGCAGGCTGATCTTTGTGAGTTAGAGGCCACCCTGGTCTACAGTGTTCCAGATAGCCATGGTTGTTAGAGAAACCTGTCTCAAAAAAAAAAAAAAAACCAACAAAAAAAACCATTTAGTAATATAAAAAGCACTACAGTTAGTTCTATTCTCAGTATTTTGTTTCATCAATGTTTTAGTATGTTCAGTTCCATAGATAGGCTGTTGGTTAATTTTCACCTTAATGAAGGACCCATAGTGTAATCTATATATTTTATTTAAGTATATAAATGTAATTTTTCCAATAGCTGATCAAGTAATTATTTCAGCATGTCACCTCAGTAAATCTCCAGTGTACCAGGTTTAATTCATATGCTGGTGTTTAAGAATTTTGGTGGATCTAATGACTTATTTTTGACCAGGGACACATAGAGATCGTGTCCCAGAAAATACAAAGATAGCTACCATTTGTTGAATCTGATTATAGGAATTGGCTGTAAGTGTTTTTTGTTTTTTTTTTGTACTGAGTGTATTAGTCAAAATATAAGCACTTAACATAAATGTTAAAGACATGGCCAGGTACTATGGAGAGGCACTCAAATTTGTGTCAAAGGGGGAAATGTGTATTTGCCAGTACAGTGTAGTACAGTGAAAAGATTTATGAAACTGATTATTTGTAGGGGAAGTTGCATGACTGTGCCTACTATGTATTTTGAGTCATGTGCATGGTACTATTTTCGTAAAGTACTATATGGAGATGGACCTTTTATCTGTTAGATACTCTAGAATATGACGAATATGACTGAATTTTAAGTAGTGGTTCAGAATTGCTCAGAATAGAAAATTTACCTAAAATACCTTATAGTTTTTTTTTTTTTTTTTTGGTTTTTTTCGAGACAGGGTTTCTCGAACTCACAGAGATCCACCTGCCTCTGCCTCCCGAGTGCTGGGATTAAAGGCGTGTGCCACCACCGCCCGGCTAAGATTTGCTTATGTTAATAAGTACTACACCGTCATGGCTTTGTAAGGATAGGTATACTTTTAATTATCAAGATTGGGCCTACATTTTTATTACTTGTAATGCTTTGTATTACTTGTTAAAGCATTTAAGCACTGGTTAATGTTAGTATAAACTCATTAATTGGTACCTCTAATCAAAGGTTTACTTGAATTTCAGCATAAGATATTTTTAAATTTGAAGTTCAGTGATACAAAGTGCCCTTAAATGAGTATATAGCATCTGGTTTATATTTATGTTCATGTCGTATGTCTGTTTTACTTTTATTTTTATAATTCTTAGCTGTAGTTTGCTGATATTTTCTAGTATTCTCAAAGGCAATGTTTAAATCTGTGGTATAAGCAAGTTTAATGAAATTCTTGTTGTCTATTAAGTTTTTCTTTAGTATTTAGTCTTTCATAATTTTACCTACAAAAAACATAATGTAACTAGAATTTGGAAAAACATTTTTTAACAGATTTTTCAGTGCTTATGACCAAATACAGAGCTTTGTGTATAATAATAGGGTGAGTGCTACTCTGCTGAGTACGTATGCATGACGTCCAGAGTAGATTTTTATTTCTCAGTTTTTCAAGACAAGGTTAATCTGTGTAGCCTTGGCTGTCCTGGAATTCGCTCTGTAGACCAGGCTGTCCTCGAACTCAGATCTGCCTGCCTCTGCCTCCTGGGGCTGAAGACCTGTGCCCCTACTGCTCAGCAAGAGTAGGATTTTTTTTTTAAGATTTTATTTATTTATTATGTATACAACATTTTGCTTCCATATATATCTGCACACCAGAAGAGGGCACCAGACCTCATAATGGATGGTTGTGAGCTACCGTGTGGTTGCTGGGAATTGAACTCAGGGCCTCTGGAAGAGCAGTCAGTGCTCTTAACCTTTGAGCCATCTCTCCAGCCCGCAAGAGTAGGATTTTTCTTCAGTTATATAAGCTACAGTTTTGTATGGATTGTTCAGTGTGCTTTATAAGGTTCTGGAGTGGACTGAACACAGCAGCCTTCCATACTGGTTTAAAAAACAAAAGTCTGTACAAGTGATGTTGTTGGATTACATTTCTTGCTTTACTTTACTCTTCTCTCTCTCTCTCTTTATTTTTAAAGATTTATTCATTTATTATTTGTACAGTGTTCTGCCTACATGCCAGATCCCATTATAGGTGGTTGTGAGCCACCATGTGGTTGCTGGGAGTTGAATTCAGGACCTCTGGAAGAGCAGCCAATGCTCTTAACCTCTGAGCCATTTCTCCAGCCCCTCTCCTCTCTCTCTCTCTCTCTCTCTCTTTTTTTTTTTTTTTTTTTTTCTTTTTCTGTTTTGGTTTTTCGAGACAGGGTTTCTGCCCTAGAACTAGCTCTGTAGATCAGGCTGACTCAGAGACTTATTTGCCTGCTTTTGGCTCCCAAGTGCTGCGATCAAAGGTGTGTTCCACCACTGCCCTGCCCCCTCTTCCCCGATTGAAACAGTCTTTACATAGCAGCCCTGGCTGTAACTGTAGACCAGGGTGGCCTTGAACTCAAAGAAACTGCCTACTTCTCCCCAACTGCTGGGACTAAACACATACAGCATACAGCACTACCCCTGGCTTTTACTCTTAAGCGACTGTAAGGCTGGACATGTGTTTAGTTTGTGGGAGGCTTCAGATGCTATCCTCAGTACTACAAAGGAAGAGACTTTGATCTATGGCAAAAGTTTAGATGCATCTTGGCTTTCCTGGCATGTCCCTCCTTTGTAAAGTATATCCGTATTTTCTGTGAACATATTGAGCATATTGATCTCAACCACCTCAAAATACTTACCTGATTAGAATGGTAGAGTAGTTAAATAAAGGGTAGGTAACAATACTAGGTTAGGATTGGGAGTACAGTTCAGTGGGAGA